TGTTAAGAGACTGTTGAATGCACAGGAAAGGTGTGATGAGGACAGGATTGGAGAGGAGGAAAAGCACAAAAATGTTTTCAGAGGTATGACAGAGGCCCGATCTGTTACAGTAGTGACTGGATGGACGTTTTTGGGTTAGAATAAAAGAGAGAACTAAAAAAACCTCCACTCTTCTGACAGAATGGATAGTGACACCTTTTACCAGTGACACATTTTATAGTAGAGAAATAACTGGTTTTGTTTGGGGTGAGGAAGTGGAGAGGATTGAAGAGTTAGTTTGTCTTTGAACAAGTGTATGTTAGAACCCACTGGAAATGCACAGAGGGTTTTTGAAAGTTCTTTTCCTCCTCAGATACATAGAGAAAAATTTATAGTAATTCTTTCCTATTTTTTCACATATTTCTATTGCTGTTTTTTTCTGTTTCCTTTTTGTGGTTTTCCTTTATAATTTTCTTCTGTTTCTTTGTTGATGATTTTCATTTATCCATGTAAAGTTTAGAGACTGTGTAAATTTAAAATATAAATATCAATTTATAATATTCCCTTTTAATGTAGCTATTACAATCCATTTATGAAAAATAAATTTAGATTTATAAATTTCCTGAATCACAGACATAGACTGCACCAGTATAATCAGTGTCTCTTTATACTAATTAAGTGCTCTACCAATAGTTGAATAGTAAATAACAGCTTTTATTAACAATGGAGATTTAACATTTTTATTTTTTTGTATTTCCTCTGCAACAGTAACCAAGTGATAAAATCAAAGCCATCAGATGAAGAAAGGATATTACCAAGAAACTCACCATTAACTTAAAACTTTCAATTTCACAAAACAAAATAAATCATATGACTAAAAGCATACAAGCTTGTGTCTATTGATTCTTCCACCCTCCATGATCCTTTAGCAGGAGATGAGCAGCTTTGTCTCTTTGTAACTTTGGAAGTTGTTACATCATAAGCTTTAAAGCCTTCTGAAACAGGAGAGTTCAGTGATCTCCTTCACAGGACATGTGGCAGGGGAGTGGCTCACCTGTTCGGATGCCCCTGCTCAAAGCCCTCGTTTGCTCATCTGCTTGTCTTGCCACATCTGTAGCAGTTAACAGGTACACCCTGGGAATTCTGGGGTTTGTGGGCTTGCTTGGTAGACATTAAAGCCCTTGTCTCTTTCCTGTATTTCCTCTCTCTTTCCTGGACCTTGCTGTCTCTATTACAAAAGACTGAAGTGGCCACTTTCAGGAAGTTCTATAAAGTACTATCTGGTCCCAGGACCTGTTTTTTGCAGCTTCCTCCTGATATCAGGGGCTGCCTGAATAATAAACTTGTCCTTTAGGATTAGTTGTTCCTCAACTGAATCAGGAGATAGACAGGGGCTTTACCAAGGCCTCACTAAGTCCTTCCAAGAAGGCAGTGGGATTTTCATCAACTCCCTGGTCAATCATGGATAACTTAGTATAATTGAGAGGCTTGGTCCTGGTCCTACACAAGTCCTCCATTATGCACACCTGAAAGTGTCTCCTCTTCCAGTCTCCCATCTCACCATTGGGATCCCATCCAGGGTTATTCATTAGTACTGTCTCTCTTCCAGTTGGATAATGTTCACCTTCTTCCCTGATGCTATATGTGCTACAAAGCTCATCCCCAAATCTCTCTGCTGCTTGAAGAGCATCCTGCTTCTCTGTGTCTGTCAGGGTCTGATTCAAAAGTAACACCATGTCTCTCCAGGAGAGTTCAAATACTTGGATAAAATTCTGGAAAGCCTCTATATATTGGACAGGGCCATCTGAAAACTTGCCAAGAGCCCCCTTAATTTGCTTTAACTCCTGTAGTGAGAAGGGGATCTGGACTTTACAGGGGTCAAACTCACCAGGCATCTGAAGCATCTGTTGAAAGGGCAAGGGTGAGACGGGGGCGTGTCTCAGGTGAAGATTTCTAGGAGGGGGTAAGTGAGAGGCTGAAGTTGGATAGGGAGATTGAGGTGGACCTGGAGGAGCAGGGCTGGAGGGAACTGGCTCCTCTGCTGGGGGTGCTTCTAGGATTTGTATCTTTAGTTCCCTTAGCTCACCCCTTGCAGCCTTTCCTGAGACAACAAACAGTAGGGCTGGATCCCTCCTACACTGTTAGCAAAGGTCTGGATGACCTTTCAAGGTATAGAAAGCCTGCCCATATGGGGCCTCACACCATCTGTCCTCACATCTACAGGAAAGGTCCAACTGCCTGATGGTACTGAAATGAATGGTCTTCCAGTCCATAATTTGGCCAAAAATTTATGCAGAGGGCTATGAGGCATTCTTCCTTCACATTCTGAGTGTCAAAGCAGTTCCAGTGGTTCAGAATACACTTCAGAGGAGTATAAGCTGGGGATGGTAAAGAGAGCTGATTGCCCATTCTGAAAGATAGGGAATAGAGGCATCCCTCAACTCTCTTCTTTCTTTCAGTGAAAACTCAGGGTGTGAGAGAGAAAGTGAACATCCTCCCTTTCTCTTCCATCTTTTTGTCCCCAAGTCCTGGCAACCTTAGCAGGTGCCATGCATGGGTGCTAATGCAGCATGCACCCATGAAGCAGGGAAGGCCTAGGGAATAGGAATTATCCACTCTCACCTATGCCTCCATCTTCCCAACTGTTGGCAAACTTTGAGTTCCCTGGGCCTCATTA